TAGTAGAGATGGGGTTTCACTGTGTTAGCCAGGATGGTCTCGATCTCCTGACCTCGTGATCCGCCCATCTCGGCCTCCCAAAGTGCTGGAATAACAGGCTTGAGCCACCGCGCCCGGCCTGTATTTTTATTTTTATTTTATTTTGTGTGTGTATGTTTTTTGGTTTTTTGTTTGTTTGTTTTTTGAGATGGAGTTTGACTCTTGTTGCCCAGGCTGGAGTGCAATGGCACCATCTTGGCTCACCGCAACCTCCGCCTCCCGGGTTCAAGTCATTCTTCTGCCTCAGCCTCCCGAGTAACTGGGATTACAGTCATGTGACATGACGCCCGGCTAATTCTGTATTTTTAGTAGACACAGGGTTTCTCCGTGTTGGTCAGGCTGGTCTCCAACTCACGACCTCAGGTGATCTGCCTGCCTCGGCCTCTCAAAGTGTTGGAATTACAGGCATGAGCCACTGAGCCCGGCGATTTTTTCTTCTTTTTTTCTTATTTTTTCTTTTTTCTTTTTTTTTTTTTTGAGACGGAGTCTTGCTCTGTCGCCCAGTCTGGAGTGTGGTGGCATGATCTTGGCTCACTGCAACCTCCGCCTCCCAGGTTCTAGCAATTCTCCTGCCTCAGCCTCCTGAGTAGCTCGGATTACAGGTGCCTGCCACCAAGCCCTGCTAATTTTTGTATTTTTAGTAGAGATGAGGTTTCACCATGTTGCCCAGGCTGGTCTTGAATTCCTGAGCTCAGGGAATCCACCTGCCTCGGCCTCCAAAAGTGCTTGGATTACAGGCGTGAGCCACCATGCCTAGCCCCAGTGATTTTTTTGTATTTTTAGTAGAGACGGGGTTTCACCTTGTTGCCCAGGCTGATCTCAAACTCCTGACCTCAAGTGCTCCGCCGGCCTCAGCCTCCCAAAGTGCTTGAATTACAGGCATGAGCCACTGCACCTGGCCCAGAGTGATCTTTAACATAAATCAAATAATGTCTTCCACCTCTTCAAATCCTCCAAATGTTTCCCGCCACACCTGGACACATTCCCAGCTCCTTAGCTTGGCTCCCTATGCCCTATGCAGTTATCCACCCCTGAAGCCACACCAGCCTCTTGGCTCCTTGGAGAACACACCACGCCGTTTGAACCCCAGGGCCTTTGCAACTTGGGGTTCTTTTGCCTTGAATTCTCTTCCCCCTCATCTTTAGTAGCTGGGACCACAGGCAAGTGCTGCCATGCCCAGATATGTATGTATGTATGTATGTATATATGTGTGTATGTGTGTATGTATGTGTGTATGCATGTGTGTATGTGTGCATGTGGGTATGTGTGTTTGTATATCTGTGTGTATGTATATGTATGTGTATGTGTGTGTATGTGTGTGTATATGTGTATGTATGTCTGTGTGTGTGTATGTGTGTGTATGTGTGTGTGTATGTGTGTGTGTATGTGTGTATGTAGCGAAAGGGTCTCACTAGTTGCCCAGGCTGTTATTTATTTATTTATTTATTTGAGACGGAGTTTCACTCTTGTTGCCCAGGCTGGAGTGCAATGTTGCGATCTGGGTTCACTGCAACCTCCACCTCTCCGGTTCAAGCGATTCTCCCACCTCAGCCTCCTGAGTAGCTGGGACTACAGGCGCCCACCACACCCAGCTGATTTTGTATTTTCAGTAGAGATGGGGTTTCTCTATGTTGATCAGGCTAGTCTCAAACTCCTGACCTCAGGTTATCTGCCTGCCTTGGTCTCCCAAAGTGCTGGGATTACAGGCGTGAGCCACGGCGCCCGGCTTTATTTATTTATTTATTTAAGACAGGGACTTGCTCTGTTGCCCAGGCTGGAGTACTTCAGCCTGAAACTCCTGGGCTCAAGCGATCCTCCCATCTCTGCATCCCGAGTAGCTAGAACTACAGGCACATTCCCCTATACCTAGCTAACTTTACAAATTGTAAAAATAGAGATGAGGTCTCACTTTATTATCCAGGCTGGTCTCAAATCCTGGGCCCCAAGCGATCCTCCTGCCTCCCAAAGTGCTGGGATTACAGGCCTGAGTCACTATGACTAGCCTGTTTTCTTTTTCTTTTTCCTTTCCTTTCCCTTTCTCTCTCTTTCTTTCTTTTTCTTTTTCTTTCTTTCTTTCTTTCTTTCTTTCTTTCTTTCCTTTTTTGACAAGATCTCCTTCTGTGGTGCAGGCTGGAATGCAGTGGCATAATCACAACTCACATCAGCCTCTAAATCTTAGACTCAAGCAATCCTCCCGCCTCAGTCTCCCAGGTAGCGGGGTCTACAGATATGCATCACCATGTCCAGCTGATTTTTTTTTTCTTTTGTAGAGACAGGGTCTCACTATGTTGCCCAGGCTGGTCTGGAACTCCTGGGCTCAAGCAATCCTCCTGCCTTGGCCTCCCAAAGTACTGGGATTAAGGCATGAGCCATCGTGCTTGGCCTTGTTTTCTTTTGAAATTGGTGTAAAGCACACACACTATTAAGTTAATTGGGAATGATATTTAGTACACTCACAATGCTGTGCAACCATCACCACTGTCTAGTTCCAGAACTTTCTCTTCACTCCAAAATAAAACCCATACCCTACTTACCTCCTCATTTCTTTCTCCTCAGTCCCTGACAACCACGAATCTTTCTGCCTCTATGAATTTGTCAGTTCAGGAGGTTTCTTTTGGAAGGAATCTTGCACTATGCAGCCTTCTGTGTCCGCTTCCTTCACTTGGCATGATATTTTCAGGACTCATCTATGCTGAAGTATATGAATCAATGCCTCCTTCTGTTTTTATGACCAAATAATATTCCACCGTTTTTCTCCCTAACCTTTGCAAGCTTCATTCCTTCGTGTCATTCAAGTCATGGCCCAGATGGCACCTCCTCAGGAAGGCTGCCCCTGTCCACCCTCCCTAAATTATCTCAGCCCTTTTACGTTTTGGTCCCAGTGTGGACTGCCATTTGTAATGGCTTTGTGCTTCTACCGTTCTGCTTGCTTGTTGAGATGGAGAACCAAGGACCCCATTGTCATCACCTACATCAATCCCAGGATTTAGAGACAGGTTTTCTGGCTGTGTGATTCTGAGCATTTCACGGGAATTCATTCTCTCTCTCTCTCGATGGAGTTTTGCTCTTGTTGTCCAGGCTGGAGTGCAATGGCACGATCTCG